AGCAATGAATGAATAGAAATCCAAAATCTCTGTAAATGCTCATTAAAATTATTAAAAAAAAAAGGGACTGACACAGGGATTGAGGGAAACTAAGAAAAGAGGAGATAAATAATGCACACTGCATTGAAACAGATGAGAGAAAGAATTGTTTCAAAGGAATATATGATTAGGTATTATTTTCAAGTCCAGAATAAAAGTTGCATAGCAAAGTGGACTGGGGCAGGGGTTGGGAGGAATGACTCTGCAACAATGAAATTATTTTTTTTCAAAGAGAAAAGTAAACTGGAGGGGTGGGCTGGGAGGAAAATGTGCAATAAATAGATGAAAATCTAAGTTCTCTATAAACTTTCATTAAAACTCAAAATAAAATTTTTTTTTGTTAAAAAAAAGAAAAGTCAGGTCTCAGGGTGGCTGTTTGCTACGATATAGTCATTACATGTTGTACTCAACTCATCGGCACCTAGCAAGTGAGTAAAGGGAATTCTGGTGGCTTAGTGGTAAGGAACTGCACTGGTTCAAATCCTCCAGCTGATCTTGGAAAAAAAGACGCGTAATCTCATCATGGGAAAAAAAGACGCGTAATCTCTTTCTGTGCAATTTAACTGCCTCTGAAAACCTGCTGGGGGTAAGACGCTAACTCGGCAATACACAGCAACAAGTGGAAAAGGAATTGTGCTGCCAACTCAAAGGCAGGTGGATCAATTCTACCAGCTGATTTGCTAGATGATGATGGACAATCTCCGGCCTTGTATTTACAGCTTCTGAAAACTTGCTGAAGGGTCAGCCATGAGTCAGTTCTGATTTGATGGCAGTGAGTTGAGTTGTTGTTTGAAGGGAGTTACATATGGCACTCTGGTGATGTAGTCCACAGAGAGAGTTGGGTTTCTAACTCAAAGGCTAGGTTCCTCCCCCAAACCATGAGAGGTAGAAAGATGGGCAATCTGAAGCCTTGTAAACATACTGGAGAATTAGCTATGAGTTGGAACCAGCTCATTGGCAAAAAGAGAGGTAAAGGAAGTAAGTCTTCATGGCATGGTGTATAATATGCTGGTATGCAAACTAAAGGGCTGACTATTTGAAAAGATGATTCCAAAGGCAGTGAGAAGACAAAATACAGTATTACAGGCAGAGGTGGAGTTAGAAAACCAAAAGAGAAGGACATGCTCTACATTTCTTAAGCTGAAAGAACTAAAGAACAAATCTGAGCTTCAAGTTGCAATTCTGAAGGATTTTATGGGTAAAATCTTGAGTGATGTAGGAAGCATTAAAAGAAGGAAGGAATACACAGAGTAACTGTACCAAAAAGAAATGGTTAGACACCAAACAGTTTCAGGAAGTAACATATGATCAAGAAACAATGGTAAGCAAGGAAGATATATAAGCTACACTGAAGGAACTGATATAAAAAAAGGTGCAAGGAATTGTTAAAATATCAATTAAGGTGTCTGAATCAAGAAGCAGTTGTTTGAACACAACAAGGGAATACAGCATGGTTTAAAATCAAGAAATGTTTTGTCAGGATTGTATTCTTTCTCCATACCTATTCAAAGTTGAGTAAAGCATTTTAGAAAGACCATATGAAGAAGAATGTAACATCAGAATTGGAGGAAGGATCATCAACAAGAAGACACAACCTTACATGCTGAAATGGAAAAGAACTTGAAGCACTTACTTGAACAAGGTTAAAAACTATAGCTTTCAACAGTCTTTAGTAATATGCCTCAACATTAAGGAAATAGAATTCTTCACCACTGACCAATAGGCAACATCATGACAGATGGGGAAAAAAAGATGGTAGTTGTATGTCCTTTTAGTCATATCCACAATCAAATCCCATGGTAGTAGCAGCCAAGAAATCAAAAGACATATGACACTGGGAAAATCTGTCAAGGACCTACTGAAAGTGCAGAAGAGCAAGAATGTCAGTTTAAGGACGAAGGTGCACTGATTCAAGCCATGGTATTATCAATTGTTTCCTATGCATATGAAACTTGGACAATGTACAAGGAAGACTGAAGAAGAATGCTGTTGGTATGTGCAGTTGAGTTGGAACCAACCCGTTAGTGGGTTTTATGAAGTTATCTGAAATTTCATGGGAGATTGCTCATCATCTTTCTCCTGTGCAGCAACAGCTGTACTTGAATTGTGTGCCTTTGGGTTGGCAATGTAACTCCTTACCACCAGTACAGCAGAACTTCCCTTAAGAAGAATTGATGTCTTTGAATTGCAGTGTTCAGGAGAAATTTTAACTATTCCGTGAACAGGGAAAAAAATTAAATAAATCTGTTCTTTGGAAGAAGTGTAAACCAGAATGATCCTTAGAGGCAAGGATGATGAAACTTTACCTCATATACTGTGGGCATGTTGTCAGGAGGGACCAGTCCTTAGAAATGAGTATCATGTTGGGGAAGGCAGAGGTCAGAGAGAGAGAGGAAGACCCTCAACTAGATGGACTGACACAGAGACTGTAACAATGGGATTCAGCATATCAGAGATTGTGAAGATGATGAACAAGATTCAGATCTGTCGTTCAGAGAGTTGCCATGAGTTGTAGTTGATTAAATAGCACAAACAAGAATAACAACATAGAATTATTTGCTTATTTTGTTGCTTAGGTGTCTAGTCTGTAACATGTTAGCTCTACAAGGATAAAACGTAAAAATTTCCATTATATTTTTATTGTTTATTCACATCTGTATTCCAAAGATCTTAAACACTAGCATTTGTCATGTAATAGGACTTGATTCTTTAGTAAAGATATTGTTGTGTTGTTGTTAAGTGCCGTTGAGTTGTAGGCTACTCATAGTGACCCTATGAACGAAAGTCCTTGACCCTTGCGAGCGTGACTTTGATCCTTTCTCCAGGTTGATGGGGTTTCCTGAGGCAAGCTACTTACAGAAGTGGATGCCACCTCATTGCTGACAAGTTGTAACTGACTTCTAGCTGAGTTTGCAAACTGCACAGGAAGAGACTGTCCATCTTTCCCCTGAGGAGTAGCTGGTGAATTCAAACTGTCAGAGGCACTTGAGTTAGCAGTGCAACTTCTATAAACTATGCCACCAAGCTCCCTTTTAAATAGATTACTAACAAATTTCAATGTAGAATTTGCATTGATACTTCTCTCTTAGAGAAGTGGAGCATAATCCATTTGCTTCCATAGAGCTCAATATGGAAAGAGGTAGAAAGAATTTTTTGAGGAATGAAATTTATTTACAAATTTCAGAAGGTGTGACAGTCTAAATGAAATTGAACATTATTTTTATTAGGCCCATTAACAGGAAACAACTATATTTTCTCTCTTTTATTGCACATTAACTTTCCTCTTTCATAGCCACAAAAAGAACTGAAAATTGCCTTGTATTTTATGAAAAAGATATCGTTTTCATTTAGAAGTGGTCTATGAATGTGTGTGTACACACAGAGAGGTTTTTCCTCCCTTTTGCTCCCTCAAATATTTGACAGTTTTTATGATTGTGTATGTACTAGTTCTTTAAAAGAGCTATTTTATTTTCTAAAGAGGCATTTTACTTATAAACATATCTGGCAGCATGAAATGTGACTCTCCTCCAGACCCCCAATTGTCTAACAAAGCCGTCTTTATAACTGCCTCTTAGCAAGAACATGCAGAAGAAGAGACACTTTGGGTTGATACCGGCCCAAACATGGCAGCAACGTAAAAGCTTTCAGTAAATTGTCAAATATCTTTATATATATTTTTTAAATGAATTAATTTTATTGCAAACAAACGTCTAAATTAATGTCTCCACCCACTTTCTTTAGAAAGGAAAATAATCAGCAGGCTAACTAAAAAACTGACATGACTAAAAATTAAGATATAAATGGGTGACTCACAATTTGATTCGCTTACAAAGATGATGGAGTTAACTCCTACAAGCACCAAATATCTTTCTTAACCGCCAAATAGGCCTAAGTTTGTCTCCTAAAACGCAGTAATTTAAAAATAATATAGACTTGTGTCTTCATTAAACAAATTGAAAACGAATTCTTTCAAGAACAAATTACTTCCATTTGCCTCACCCTGGTCATTAAAAACAATGTATTCGAATTTTGTAAATACACTAGTAGAAAATAATGTAAAAAAACCCCCAAACCCAAACTAATGTAATTTCTCAAAGGGAAGCGGTAGTTAAGAATAAAGCAGGAGCATCTAAGCTGTTGAGACAAACTGAATACCCTTTCCTAGGGAGCTCTGGAAGACCTAATGGGGAGAAAATGCGCTGCAACCGCAAAGGTAAACGGTTCAAATCCATCAGCTGCTCCAAAGGAGAAAGACGTGCAATTTAGAGGCTCTGAAAACTCGCTAGAGGGTCAGCTAAGAGTTGGTTCCGGCTCCGGGGTACACAACAGCAAGCAAGTCTGTTAACGTAGTGATAAGGAATTGTGCTGTCAACCCCCAGCCACTTTACGAGAAAAAGACGAGCAATCTCCTCCCGGCCTGGAGGCTCCAGCTATGAGTTAGTTCTGACTCGGTGGTACTTGGGTCGGCGCATTGGAAAACTAAACCCTGTCAATGGCTTCACGGGAGCCAAAGGGACAGGATCGGGTCATAGGCACAGGAATATAAAAATTTACATGTCAGGCAAACTCAAAATGGAATGGGGAAAAAACCCAATCGGCACGTGCCCAGTATTTAAGTATTCGGCGAAAAATGCAAACCTTTCAATCAATCACGTTTCACTCACCACTGTCTTGAACTGAAGAATTCGAGAAGTCCAGCTAAGCGTTCTGCTCACTGAATTTAGCCTCTACCCTCAGTGGCAACAGAACACAGGAAGCACTACCAAGAGCTTCACTCAAACCCAGCCGGAGTCACTGCTGGGAACAGTGAAAGAAGAGCCATTTGGTTCCGGCCGGGACCCTCCCATTAGAAAAAACCGAAGAGTATGCGCAAGCACGTCACTGTCACGTGATCACTGCTGGGGAAAATGAAACTTACCGTGGTATCTCGGAACCCTTTCATAGCTGAGCTTCCAGCGGCTTTCTGAGGTTGAAATCGCTTATTTCCGTCGCGCGCGGAGCGACAGGTGGATTCTGAAGGTGCAGCCTTCGGGCTCGCAGCGCAACTCCCTAGGGACCAGGCCACCGGGATCCTGATATTATGGCGAGATCTGGGATCAGCCAGGATCCTAACAGCATCACCGCAGCCACTGTGCTAAAGCGGGCGGTGGAACTAGATTCCGAGTACCGGTACCAGCAAGCTCTGGTATGTTACCAAGAGGGAATTGATCTGCTTCTGCAGGTTCTGAAAGGTGAGCAATGAACCGCAGCAGGAAGAACAGGAGAAAGGGAAAGGAATTTAGGTTTTGCTGTGTATGAGAAGTAAAATTAACAGTTCTTCTGAGGAAACAGGGATGGGCAGTATTCTGCCGTCACGTTTTTTATATATTTAGTTAATCGAGCTCTGATGGCCTAGTGGTAAGAAGCTGCGCTGCAGGTGGTTCGAATCCACTAACTGATTCTCGGGAAAAGGGTGTACAGTCTCCTCCGGTGCGATTTCCTGCCTCTTGAAACCTCCCGGGAGGGTGGGGGGTGGTGGTGGTGGTGTCAGCTATGGGTTAGTTCCGACTCTGTGACACAAAACAACAAATTGCTCGGAAGGAGATTGTTCGGAACCGACTCTAGTTGACCCTCCCGTGGGCTTTCAGAGGCAGTAAATCGCAGGGGAGGAGATTGCCCATCCTTCTACCTCGTAGCAGCTGATGGAAATGAACCCAATGCCTTTGTGTGGGCAGTAAAGTTCCTTCGAGTATGGGCTCTTGAATCATCTCAAGAGGAACAATCGAGCATATTTCACAAGAGATTCATGGTTATGCCACGATTTTCTTGTGATACTGAACTATCAACTCAGTTCACAGGCATTGACTCTGCATCCGTGTCTGAGACTGTTAGTGGCAATGGGAGGAGACAGTCCATCTTGGGGTATTTTGAACTGCTAAAGATTCACAGCTTTTGGGTTAGCAGTGAAACTTGCTCTTTGCGTTGTGGTAGAGAACTATCCCTACGGATTGCTGAAAGCACAAACTTTTGTCCTGCGAAAACTGCAGCCCAAGTGCTCCTTAGAGGCAAGGATGGCAAAGAAACTTGGTTTCAAATACTTTGGGCATATTGTTGGGAGGGGCTATTCCTTGGCAATAAAATGAAATAGATTTACTGACACAGTGACTACAGCAATGGGTCTCAAGTATGTCAGAGATGGTGAGGATGGCACAAAACAGGACAGGGTTCAGAACTGTTCATAATGACACTATGAATCATACTCAATTGCATCTAACAACAATAACATACCACCAGAGGTCACTATACTGTAGCTCAGGCATAAGGAAAGAAGAGGTCTAGATGAGGTTAGCCTCAACAATGGGCCCAAATATATCAAAGATCATGGAACTGGTACAGACCCAGGCAACTTTTGTTCTTTTCTACATAAAATCACTATGAATTATCACCAAAATGACAACAACTAAGAACATCAAGAAGATAATATTAATCGTGGCAGTAGGAGAACTGAAAGGGGGGATTTCAGTCATTATACTGCTACTAGTAATGTTACAATCTAAATGCCCACAGGTAGTAGACTAACTGAATAAAGTATGACATTAATATGGGTTAGCTACCTAGTCTTCATTTACTATCTTCTTATCTACCATTTTGCTGTTGTTGTGTACTGTACTGAGTTGGAACTGAACCCATAGTTGACCCTCCAGTAGGTTTTCAGAGGCAATAAATCACATGTTAAGAGACTGCCCATACTACTCCTGCGGAGCAGCTGGAGGTTTTGAACCGAGTGCCTTCAGTATTGCAGTGCAGCTTCTTGCCAATAGGCCAGTCTATTTTGTGTATTTTTTATTAAATTTTATTAATTTTAATGAACATTTACAGAGATTTTGGGTTTCCATTCATTCATTGTTGCACTATTTTCTCTACCCTC